CGGAAGTTGGATCGCCGGAGAAAACAGAGAAAGGAAAGTGAAAAACAGAGCGGTTGGTCACCGGGGGAAGTTTGTTGTGTAGAAATGGGGAAGCATTGCGAAGAAACGGAACAGAAGGAAACGGAACGGAACAGTTGCTCACCAAATTTCCATGGCGAAGGTACAGAGAGAGAGAAGAAGAAGAGATTATTGAGGCCTCTCTTTGGAATCGTCAGTGCTCATCTTGCTCGCCTTTCATGTCTTCTCTGCGAATCTTTATAATTCTTCCCTCACATTATTTAAATAAACAACAAAAATGATTTTGCTTTTAATGAGTTTATATAAAATTTTAGAAAGTATCAAAAGAAGTTCTATTGTTTAGAAACTATGTTTAATGGCACGTTTTATTTTTTATCTAATTGATTACAATATATGAAAGTGGGAGATCGAACACACAATCTTAAACATGTGTGTTGAACTAAACTCGTTTTAATTTCTATTTTTTAACCTAACTTATTATACAGGTCTTTTTTTGTTTTGATTAGTCTCTATTTTAGATCATAAATTTTTAAAAGATAATTATTTAGATCACTAGAAAAGTGAAAACTAATCATTTTGAGTGTATTATTTTGTCACCTAAGATCGACGTGCTTATGTATATATGGCTAATAAATTTTTTTAGGGGTTTCATTTGAACCTATGACCTCTTAGAAGAGGTAGATATATCTTAATTACTAGTACTTGTAATGTCTTAAGATGTTAAAATTTGATTGTCCACATATACTTTTTTAGTACAACAAATATGGAGATGAATGATTTAAATTTATGACTTCTAGAAAAGAAGCAAGATGCCTTAAGCTGTGCTTGTGTCGGCGAAATGATTTATTTTAGTTGATATACTCGCACAAATATTTTTGAAAGTTTATTGACTAAAATGAAATAAATTTGATAGTCCACATACACTTGTTTTTTAGTACAACAAAATGGCAGGCGAAAGATTCAACCTCTAACCTTTAAAAAATGAGTAAAATGCTTAAAGCTGAGCTACTCATTATTAGGGGACAAAAAAAAATCTTGCCACGTGGAGAACAAAGGAAGGTCGAAAGATTCGTTGTTCCTTGATGACTCGAAGGAATAGCCAATCCTCGTACCTAGTCTTGGGGCCACCTGAGTAGAATCTCATTTGGCTGAAGATCTCGCCCATTTCCAACCTTGTGAACCCAATAGACCGACGTTCAACAATTAACCATCTGACAGTCGAAACCGTCAGTCGGACACCTTGTTAGACACTCAACTTATAAATAGAGTGCCTAAACTCCAGTATTAGGTATCACATTCTAGCTCGATCTTAATATTGAGGTCAAACTTATACTGACTTGAGCATCGAAGTGTTTCTCTCTCTTGTGCAGATTTTTCTTTCCTAACGACGCCCAAAGTCATTTCAGTTGCTTACTTTGACCAATTCCGACCTAGATGAAAAATCTTCATAAACACTCATGCTGCCAAAATTTTTCTTTTTAAAATTGATATACCAAACAAACCTTTTTTAAAGTTTAGTTTATACACTAAAATGAAATAAATTTTAAAAGTTTAAAGGTTAGGTTATAGAAGTATGGACGCCAAAGTTGAAAAAATCTAGAAAATTGAAAGGAAACAAAATAAGGTTTAAACAAAATAATAATTTTTATAATATCATTTTGTTTAAAACTTGTCATTATTGTTCATCATTAATTGATACCTACTCTTTTTCGTAAGTTCTGTCTGTTGAACTTAAAACAAAGTTGTCATTATTTTTCGAGCATTACATTATATATGTGTTTAAGTTGTTTTTGTCAAAGTCAATTTTTAATTTAATGACAATTGATAATTGAACTAACCTATTTATCTTAGAAGTTCAAAATTCGCATCAAACTCGACCTTTTTTAATTTTTCTTTTTCTGTTTTTGAAAAATCAAATTTATCAAAATTGACTAAAAAATCAACCAAATTTAGCTAAAGTACTATTAATTTTTAAAATCCATTAAATTGAATTAATTGTTGCTAATTTAGACAAATTTATGAGGTTCCCATCCTTCAAAGACGACTCTGACTGTAACACGATCATCTATAGACAAAAAGAACACTCTCAAATGATCATCATACAGCTATTGAGAACAAATCAAATAAGAT